GATATTAGCAAGCATTTAACATGCACTTTCAGAAACAAAGTATAAGGAAAAAATTTCCTAACCAGAGTATTATACAACCATTAAACAAACTGAATGAAAAATCAAATAGAATTACACATTCACCTGACCTGTGTAGCAACACCACACTATACAATATGGCCAGTACAAACAAGTCTTTGAAAAGTGTCTTTGGGTGCTATCAGAGTACCCAGGTATGCTTCATTATTCTAAAGCTTAAGAGGACTAACTTGTGTTAGCCACTTTTTTTTAAATAAATGAACTGCTGTATTTTTAAAGGTTCAATCTCTTAGCTTTATATTATTTTGCATACATTAACAATTTAGCTGCATCATAAGAACCAAACATACCTCATTAGAGTTGTATTTCCAGTGAAGGGACCAAACCTAATCTCCTCAAATGGGGGCTGAAACCCCAGTATCTGCAAAGCTTCTTCTTGAGTTATGGGTGGTAAACTGAAAAGGAAAAAAGAAGAAAAGAAGTAAATAAAATAATAAGTAACATAGTTTAAACCCTCGAGAGGCAAAGCAGTCTATGTCTGACTTACCTTCCAGCTCCCAGAGTACTATATAAGAAATTCCAGCAAGACACTAAGGATGAAATGCCACAGGAAGTCTTGTATTGAGGTCGGCTAACACAATACCTTAAACAAAAAAAAATCCAAATGCATTAATAAGCATTCTTGATTTTATAGAACCAACCTGAACTACTTTTCTGGGTGCCATATCACTGAAGGGCCATGTTATATTACATGTTTTTATGCCACCTGTATTAAAAAAAACCCCAAAACAATAAAAAACAGAACAAATGCATTCTTTGAAAAATAAATTGAGTAAATATGTCAAATAATTTCTTTGTCACATGCTAGTACCCTATTTTATACAAATCAGTCAAATTTCCAACAGCTCCATGGGAGTTCTGTACAAATGATCCCATAGGAAAAAACAGTAATGCACTAATACTGTATAGTCTCTTCTAACATGTCAACTTGCAGTAAACTGCATCTCTACCAATTTACTAATGAATGTCGTTCCAGATTGCAGATTCCCTAAGCTAAGCCTAATTTTCTGATGTCACAGACATACACATTCATTAAACTAAGTGAATTTAGTAAACTATACCCATATGATAATCGGTTGTATAGATAGTGTATGTATGTCTAACATATCCCCATTTCTACTAAAAAAAATTATGAAGGCATTATTAAGAAGTTTTAAATCAGATAACTAGCAACAGTGTTTAGTGACAAACTGTATGAAGATAATTCTAAACACAATTCATAAATACTACCATCTCCGAAGGTCCAGCACTTTCCTCTCCTTCACATCTTCAAGAGCTGAACGCTGAGGACACTCTCTGTATTGTTTGCTTTTTTTGTCCACAGACTTTTTCTTCATCCCTTGTTTCTTCATGTTGCCTACAAAACAGATTTCAGAAACAAATGCATGTCTAGTTTGCCTTTCATAGCTTTCTTCTTACATACTTCTACTCATAGCATACAGCTCAAATAGAGACACTGGTTGTGTTACTAAGTGCCAACTGGGACTTTAAGTGAAAGGAAAAAGCTCAAATACATAATCGTCAACAGGTTTGTAAAGCTGCCATTAGCTCTGTACACAACATGGTGTTTAGATCATGAACAGAATTAATGACGTCCTGCCCAACTGTTTAGAGAGATAAGTCAATCTGATTATTCTAATGCGTTAAATCAGCCATCCCAGAAACAGACTCCCACACCAACATGGACATCCCATGTCTTAACATGAAATGCACATGCAATATAATGAAATGCTTGTTTTTCACTGCCAACCTTGTAATCAGCTTCTGATGAAAGCTTATATTGCAAATTCAGTAAGAACACACACACAAGGTCTCTTCCTTCTCATAAGCCACGGAGGCAGTTAAAAAGGCAGAGCTGAGCCACATTGCACAGCAGAAATATTTTTGTCCCATTTTGAAGCCATCACATCCAGATGAAATATTTTAGAAATTATGACCATCCTCTAAGACATCATAATTTACGTCTTACTTTTATTTAAGGACACTTCATGTACACATGAAAAGGAAGTGGCAACTTGCCAAACATGTTTTTAAGTTTTGCTGAACAGGTTTCATATTAATGTAGAGAAAACAGCAGTTTAACTATCTAGCCAAGCCATTGAGAAAAAAAAAAATCCACAGCACACTCTAGATAAACAGAGGGATTTGAGGACAAAGAAAACCAACTGGGTATGCAAGTGTTTGATTTGTAGCTGCAATTAGTGATTAAGCAGAGAAAGAACACAGGAGGTAGCAAAGAAGCCAGTTTTAAAGGATCCCTAACACTGTGTACATGTAGCAAATCGAAATAAATAAAATTCTGTTACAGAAACCTACTGTTTTCCTAGGTAACTGTCATGATTGCATTGTCATAAAAATCACAGCTTCAACTTCAAAATACATCTCTGAAGTATCTTGAAACATTTCTGCAAGCAACAAACCTGTACTTAAAAGGCAAAAGTAATCACTGCACAACACACAAGGTCCTACTAAAATTAAAAATAAAAAAAAAAAAAACTCCAAAAACACAGTGGGAAAAAAGAAAAACAGAGACCACCCCCAAAATAAAAAAATACACAGTTAAAGCAGAAGCCAGCCTGTTTTAGAGCCCTTTCCCCAGGCAGCTACACCTCACTTTCACTCCTCCTATCTCACTCTCTTCCATTGAGCAGGTTCCTTGTAACGAAGTAGAGGTTCTATAGCACTTCCTTGAGGGATACATGGCCAGCCCCCTCCACAAACAAGCTGTAAACATGAAGCCTTTTCCTTTCACATCAAAACTCCACCACCTCACCTGCTTTGTTCTTCAGATTTGCGTTCACGCCATTGAACTCCGATTTGTCTATTTCCCATGCCAGTGGAAGCTTTCCAAGATTGCCAGGCAGGCTTTCCAAGTCAGCATCTTCACTGTAGATTATCTCTGAAGCACCAGTTTGAACGCTGAGTAAGTTAGGTGTGTTATTTCCAACATTTAAGGCAGCACTGCCTGATAGGCAGGCACTAACTGAAGCACTTGGGCTTTTACAAATAGATGTTACTCTGTTTAAAAAAGCATAGTCTGAGCAGATGGTATAAAATTTCTCTCTTGTATGAGTCACAGGACATCCCCATGGATAATGCCCATCTCCCCTGGATACCAATGATGCAGTGGAGCCGTCTGACATGCAGTATGGCTTCACAGGATCATGAAGAGAAGCTTCTGGGGATTCTTTCCCAGCTCTGTTTTCAGTGTTTCCATTATTTCCAGAACCATTTTCCTTTTCATCTTCTGAAATGGTAGGCATTGAATGATACTAAAAGAATATTGCACAGTTAAGAATACTTTTTCTTTTTGTTTAATTACACCAGGGTTTTCATCATTGCCTCCATTGCCTCTGCAAGGTATTGACGAGGTACCTGAAATAAAATAAGAAGTCTGTACATGTGTGTCAATCAACATAAAATATACACAACGCTTACCTTTAAACTCATAGCAAATAAGATCTGAAACACCCTCCAAGATATATCGCAACATACACAGTGTTGTTCCCCAAGCATCTCTGGAACTCTACAAACAGCACCTTTTATTATTTGAGTTGCCAAAAGCATACACCACAGTGATATTATGATGAAGACATATTAATTACATTTATAAATGAGCATACAAATAAGAAAAAATAAATTAAAAAAATTGAAAGCTTCCTACATTTACATAGTTGTGGCTGACTCTTCCATCCCTTAGTCTCAGTACACTGTTAATGCTGAGTGCAAAATAATTTATACAAATTAATACATCACAGAACAGCAACCTAAGGTCACTTAATTCTGCCAAAGCCTGCATACTTTTGCTGCAAGTGGAGTGTAGGTGTACAGTTACAGTAACTATAACCTCCATCGATTGTAAATTGACAACACTTCCCTCAATCTGCTCCACTGCTTTCCTCCTATGGCTGTAAAGGATTCCCTTTATTTTTATGTGCCTCCTATCCCTCAAGACGTGGGAAAGAAAAGCAGCTGTTGTTTATGGTAGCTAAGAACTACCAAAAACAAATTTAGAAGACTGGCTGGCTTGCTCTGAACGATCGCTTTTAAAGGGCAAGCCGACAGCGTGTGTGTGATCTGTCATCTCAGCAGCTCGCACGTCTACAGGCGCGCGCCGCAGATGGGAACCTGGCGCGAGGGAAGCAGGAATTCCGCTCCAGAGCCGCCTCCTGCGACACGGGCCTCAGGTCGCTGCCCCGCAGCCCAGCGGCGCACCGGGAGCGGCTCCGGCCGCCCGGCCCCTGCCGGGCTGCGCTGGGCACATCCCAGGGACACATCCCAGGGACACATCCCAGCCTCCGCCCGTGCCCAGCAGCGCCCGCCCCGAGCGCAGCCCCAAGACTCCCCTCGCCCGCCCGGGTCACCCGCACAGCCCCGCCCGGGGCGGGGGGCACCGGCCCCGGGGAGGGGCGGGAGCGCTGGGGCGCTGCCAATCGGGGCCGCGGCTCCCCGCTCCGCCTCCCGCGCTGCCGCCCGCCGGCTCCGGAGCGCACAGCCGCAGGCTGGAAGAAGGGGCCCCGCGGGAGGGTGGGCCCGGTCCCTTCCCCGGCGGCGGCCCCGCATGCCGCCCCCGGCCGCGTTACCTGCGCGGAGCGGCGCTGCCGTGCTCCCTCCCTCCCGGCCGCGGCGGAGCGGGGACGCGGCGCGCCGGAAACAGACACGGCCACGCGCTCACCTGCGCGCCCCCGCCGCCCCCCTCCTCCTCCGCGCCGCCGCCGCCGGCCCGCACCAACTCCCGCAGCCGCGCGGGGTGGCGGCAGGCGCGGGGCTGCCCGGCGGCGGTGCCGCTCCCAGGGCGGGCCCTCACGGTGCCTCGGAGGCACGGGCCGCTTGCCGCCCGGCTGGGCCGCGACTGCTCCTCGGCGCCGTGAGAGGCGCCTCCTTGGCCGCCCCCCCCCCCCCCCCCACACCTATGCGCCCTCATGGTCTCGCCCGGTGGTGCCCCGCGGGCGGGCGAGAAAGGAGGGGCAAGTCGGGAGGGGGGTCTGGCGTGGGGAGCTCACACAAAGCGGGAAGCACAAAGGCTAAGGGTGCTGGGCCTGTGCAGCTTCGGGAAGAGATGTCTGAGAGGGGATTGCAGCAGTGTCTGTAATTATCTGAAGGGAGGGTGCCAAGAGGATGGATCCAGGCTCTTCTTGGTGGTGCCAAGCAGTAGCACAAGAGGCAGTGAGTGGGCAGAAACTGATGCACAGGAAGTTCCATCTGAATATGAGGAAGAACTTATTTATTGTGTGGGTGACCACCACTGGAACAGATTATCCAGAGAGCTTGTGGAATCTCCCCCACTGGAGATACTCAAGAAAAATACGGACACAATCCTGCGCCATGTGCTCTGGGATGACCCTGCTTGAGCAGGGAGGTTGGACCCGATAACCTGCTGTCATCC